AATTACAATATAGGCTAACAATTAAATACAATAGCATTTATAGAATTTAATAGCTTTTTCATTACCTGTTGGTTTTCAACATTTCTTCAACTCTTCAACTTATTCTTTGAATTTTTAAGTTTAGTAGTATATATCTAGTTAGCTACACATAAATTTTTTATATGTGTATATACATATATGCATATAAATGTTTTGTCCATATTAGTGCCTGATACTGAGTGTAAAACAACTCACGCAAACATTTTAAACAGTTTGTTTTCTTTCTATAAAAAGGAACTGAAAAAAATGGATTCATGACAATATTATTTTAGTTTTTTATTATTTGTCTGTTTTACAAACTTGACTCCATGGTTGACAATCACTGCACTATAGGATTGCTTCCATATTGGACTCAGATGGCCCACCTATTAAAATTTAGTCCTGGGCCCTGCGAATTTAAAGGAATAGTTCACCCAAAAATCCAAATTTACTAAAAATATACTTACCCTCAGGCCATCCAAGATGAAGTTGAGTTTGTTTCTTCATCAGAACAGATTTTGAGAAATATTGCATTTCATCACTTGCTCACCAATGGATCCTCTGCAGTGAATGGGTGCCGTCAGAATGAGAGTCCAAACAGCTGATAAAAACATCACAGTAATCCACACGACTGTAGTCCAATTAATGTCTTGTGTAGCGAAAAGCTGCATGTTTGTAAGAAACAAATCCATCAAGACATTTTTAAATCCATAATGCTTTCTCCAGTGAAAAAAAAATCCAACCCTGATGTCCTCTCACATCTAAATCCACCAACATATTTGCTTAGAACTGTTTTGGACCATTTTCATTTGTAATCAGTGCTGTATCTGTGCAAATTTCTCTCCTGATTCAGACAAGACAGCTGTTTCACTAAAGAAAGCAATGTTCTGGATAGAGGACTCGTATTTTAGCAAAGCAATGGTTAAAATGTCTTGATGGATTTGTTTATTACAAACATGCAGCTTTTTGCTTTGCATAATGTTAATTGATGGACTGGAGTCATGTGGATTACTTGTGGACTCTCATTCTGACGGCACCCATTCACTGCAGAGGACCCATTAGTGAGCAAGTGATGTAATACTAAATTTCTCCAAATCTGAATGAAGAAACAAACTCATCTACATCTTGGATGGCCTGAGGGTGTTTAAGTACATTTTCATTTCTGAGTGAACTATTCCTTTAAGCAATATCTTTGGGCCTGTACACTGTTGTTCCAGGTATGTTCAAGGCGTGTCATCAATGCATTTAGCAATCTGAGTGACATGTAAGAGAAATTTTTACCATCACAGGAAGCATATGTACTTCATAGGAAGCATATGTACTTCACAACATAGTGGTGTCACAATGAGCTGTGACCACCCAGTCTGTGTGTAGGTGATTGTGTCTGTCTGATAGAGTATTAGCTACACAATTTGCCTCCAGAAGTGAGCTAAATCTGAGAAAACCTTCATTTGGGGATGTCCTCACAAGCAAAGTAATGAGTCATACTTTTTCATTCTACTCTATGATATAAAAACACTTATGACTGTAAGTGAGCAGCCATGAGGGTCTGGAACTCTCACCCCTGCAGAACATCATAATGTCCTGCGAGCGTCAGAGTCACAACGGAATTCCGCATTCTAAAAACAGCCTGTGGATCCTGCTTGGAGCCCTTGTGTGTGTGGCAAGCTGTTTAAACATTACACCTTTCAACTAGGCATGGGCCGATGCGATTACTGGTTTCAAAACCACTAATATTTTCCGTTATACCGTTCCTGCGGTATGCACTGTTTTATTAAGCACTGTTTTATTCAGTCCTCAAAGACTGAAAGTGTAGGAATCCCTCAGGTTGAGTGCAGTGTAGAGAGTAACACGACCCTCCTCCTCCTGTTGGTGCGAGCGGTCAGTCACGTGTGTGTAGGATGGACGAACTTAAGGAGCTTCCCCTGGAACTTACGCGATCGGCAACCGGCCGTTTATTGTTTTATTGCAGCCGATCTCTGTTCTGGACTTGCACAAACTGCGTTGCAATGCAGTCGTTTTCCAAAATGTCATTTATGTGAAAATATGAAGTCTGTAAACGCCCGTTAACACAGGCCAGAGACGCTGAAGACGGACGCACGGAGAAAAATACTGTAGCAGGCAGATCACTCACTCTTCATGATGCACAAACTATTGGAAGAAAATCCTCAATATTGATTTGGGGGTTTATATGAATGTGTTTCTGAGGGGAACTGACTGTCTTCAGAAAAGTTTACGTGGTATTTTCTTTTCGTCTCGTCTCTGTATAGTTCATATTAAAGCAGTGTTTCAGTGAAGCGCTGCTTTGTTTACAGCGGTAACCAAGGAAATGCCGTATGTGGTGTTCCTGAAGCACCTCCTGCTGTCAGAGAGTGAATCTGCGTCTCATTCAGAGCTTCTGCTGTTTGTTTCGTTCAGGCATGTAGTATAATTTCACAAAGCTAGTCTGAACATTCTGTTTTTGCCTCAAATTGGGTTATTATTAAATCAAATTGTGTATTTGAAATGATATAAATTATATTATTTTTTTTACCCATTTAATTAAAAATAACACATTTTAGAGCTGTAACGACAATACCATGATACTGTGAAACCGTGATATTTTTTGCTTAAAGGGGTGGTTCACTGGTTTTTTTCTAGGTTTGATTGTGTTTATGGGGTGCAGTCTAACATGTGTTAATGCTTTTTTTTTTAAACGCATTATTTTTCACATAATTTACCTTTATTCCACACAGCTCTGTCCCTTCTCTGAGAAACAGGCTGATCTTTTCCTGTTTTTATGAAGCCCCGCCCTCAGAAATAGGCGATGGGCTCTGATTGGTTAGCTAGCCCAGTGTGTTGTGATTGGCTAAACCGCCTAGTGCGCGTCTAAGCGTCCCGCCCCTCACCTCAGCAGCATGTGCTCCGGTTGTATTGTAAACAATGGCATCGTAGCTTTTAATATACATTTTTATCCTGATTAAAGCTTTAATACAGTACGCCAACTGCAAACCATGTGTAACTCTTCTCATAGCTATGTGAAAATAAGTGTATAATTGTAACAGTTCATTGCTGGAGCTGAGCTGGTGATCTGAATGAGAGAGAGAGAGAGAGAGAGATGCAGAGTGTGTGCAGAGCAGGGGAATGCGAGGAACAGTATTAAGAACCGCTGCTTTAGAACATTGATTTTGAAACTTGTGAATCCATTAGAATCGTTAGAAGACAGAATCGCGATTCATATATGAATAGATTGTTACGTGCACCTCTAGTTTTCTCTTCCTCTAAAGCAGCGCAGCATGGCCTCGCCCCCTTTGCTGCCTTTTCCCGAGGGCGGGGTTTATCTGGGTTTGTGATGTCACAAACCCGGGAAGTAACTTGTTGTAGTCCCTACCAGCCGTTTTTGTAGGCATTAAACTGCCAGAATTTTTAAAGACAATATCTCCGTTTGCATTGAACTTTCAGCTTCGTAACTTTGCAGATATTGTTTATGCTCAAACAGCAACATTACACACTAACTAACATTAAAAAAGTGAAATCGCAATGAACCACCCCTTTAAGGTTATCATTCCGTCAAATTCTCATACCGGCCCATGCCTACTTACAACTAACTAGTAGATTATCTAACCATCAGTGGGGTGTAAACAGATCGTACTAAAATGTGCATTGCACATACACTCTCAAAAAGGATGTTACATTTTAACACATATTTTGTTAGGACTATTTTAACACATTTGGTGTCGTTTTGTGTTAAATGTGTGTTAAGAACAAAAAAGAAAAAACGCAACAGTGTGTCCAACACAATATGTGTAATTATAAGCCAATCGAATTGCTGCCTGTGTCACTTCATGAGCCGTTATTCTTCTCACAAGCAAGTTTCCTCGCGCTTCAACTTTTCATCATCGGTGGATATCTTTGATGTGTGGAGGTAAGAAAAATGTTTGTATTTGGCTTTAGAAGCTTTTAAAACGTCTTTTGTGATCATTCGTAGACGGTTGAGGGGCATTTTACACACACGTGGTAGCCGGTGTTGTGCCCAATTTCAATGCCCTGTCCAATTATTACCCCCCTCGTTGAAGTCGCAACCTGATTGACTAATCCTAACCCCTCCCCCAAATCTACTCCTAGACCT